AGACCAAGGGTGATTCTAATACTCATGAAGAAGCTTCTGTGGTTCTTTTGTCCCTGTTTATTCTTTAAAAACAAACAAAACAATGTGAAACAAAACAAAAAACTTTCATACTTTAAGGCCTTTTTTTTAAACAGAAATGCACACAGGTTCATGCTGATGAACACATGTTGGTGCAGCCTAATTAGCAAGCCTACTATGTCTTCCTGGAGTATCTGATCTAAGATTTAAAAAGAAAAAAAAATTATTCATTGCCAAAATAAAGTGGAAAAAAATAGACCCAGCATAGTGATACAGGTAGTAGGTGCTCTTCTGTGATACTAGAGTCCTGGGGGAGTCCTGGGTTCAGATCCCAGACTAACCTAAACTCACTGAGTATGGTTGTATACACCTATAATCCTCAGTAACTAGGAGCTTGGGGAAGGCTGGAAGGATAATATTGGCACAGTGAGACCCTCTTGAAAATGTCTCTCTCTCTCTCTCTCTCTTGCTTTCTCTCTCTTATTGAAAACAAAAATCTGGGACCAGCAGTTGGCATAAGGGCTATGTCACTGGATTCCCAGATAGTCGACCACAATTCGAGTCCCTAACCTGGTGGCTTAAACTCACACTGGGCACATGTGCATGCGTGCCCAAGATCCAGAGAAAAGAATGGAGAAGAGATTCTGGCATGGCCATCCCCCTGGGGATTGATTTCTCGCTTTCTGTCTCTCTCTCTCTCTCTGTCTTTCTGGCGCACTGAAGCGCCCTATAGCAAGAACCTCCCCTCCCCCCCAAAAAAAGACAGAAAATAATCCTCGAATTTCCTATACACTGTTTCAAAATATAGTCCCACACCCAAATAACCATACTTACTCCTCTGCCACTTAGGAATACTTCATCGGAAACATCTGAGAATAGATCTAAGAAAATCTAGGAGTGTCTCTCCTTTGAAGTAAGAAAGAACTTATATAACAGGAAATACACATATCCATTTTGCTCATCAGCAAAATACCTTGCACTACCAGCTTTGTCTTCGTATATAGTTTGAAGTCCTTGAGTCCTCTCAGTTATCCACTTGTTTCTGTATCCACTCACACAGTTTCGCACCCTTGGATCCTCCCCAAGTACATCATCTTAGTCTTCTAACCTTGATCCTGCCAAGCTGTTAAATGTTTCTCAACCAATTATTTTCCACCCTTGCCAAATCAGTCATCATTATTTTGTGAAAAATGCTACCAAAGATTTTCCACATACTATCAGCAGTGTAAATTAACACTATTTGTAAAATGTATGATTTACTTCAGGTTTAACTTTAAGAAAATAAAACAGACAAGAATTTCAGATCTTTGTCTAGATTAAAAAAGAAATAGGGGAAACAGCAGTTAGCGTAATGGCTATGTCGCTGGACTCCCACGTAGTCGACCGCGGTTCACGTCCCGGACCCGGTGGCTTAAAACTCACGCCGGGTGCATGTGCGTGCGTGCCCAAGATCCCGAGAGGAGAATGGAGGAGAAGGGATTGCAGTGTGACCATCCCCCCTGGGGGGTAATTTCTCGCTTTCTGTCTCTATGTCTCTCTCTGTCTGGCGAGCACACGTGCCCTATAGCAAAAAAAAACTTTCAAAAAAAAAAGATGATTATATATCATTGCATGTAGAGTTTCACACAAAAAAATAATGCTACCACAGAAAAGAAAAAAAAAAAATGAACCTGAGGTAGGAATATATTAGGTTGTCAGAAAAGCCATGAGTATTTTCATTCTATGCAAAAAATGCATCATGACTTTTCCAACAACCCAATAATTTCTGAAGGAACTGGAGAAAGAAGGTAAATATCACTGGGCATGTAGCCTCCTCTCTCCCTGCCTACCTACCCATCATACAAGAACTTTCTCTTAAAATGGCATGCTAGCTTTCCCTAAAAAAAAAAAAAAAAAAAAAAGTTTTGTGCACAGAACATCAGGGAAAGCCTGGTTTCCCTTTCACTTGTCTCCATACCCATAAACCTTGGATCCCAGACTTCTCACTTTGTTTTCTGGAGAGTAACTGGCACACTAGGTGTGGAGAGGATGGGGCCCAGAGGACAGAGCCAGCTTCCCTTGGCATCAGAGGCAGTGGGAGGACTGTGAGAAGGAGAGCTGGCCTCCAGGGCCTTCCCAACTGACCACTCTTCTCCTGTCCCTCAGGAAGTTGGGGGCTGAGGCCTGTTGCCACCAGAGAAGATCAATCGGCATGCCTTTGGGCAGAGAGAGCCAGATAGCTCAGCCTGCCAAGAACACAAAACAGATTTCAAAGGCACAGACATGGCAAGTAGCCAACAAATCAATCCACATGTTGTTTTACAGTGAAAATAGCTTCTTTTTCCTTTCTTTTTTTAAAAAAATTTAAACTGAAAAACTACCACCCACTTACACAAAATTCAGATAACACATTAAAAACATAAATTAAAAAAAAAAAAAAAAACAAGTGTTGAAACTCTGATTGAAACCCAGGCAGTCGAACTGCTCTGCAGTCTGTAGTGGCTGTACTGTCCCTTGCATCGCTCCTAAATCATAATCTGGTGAGAGACAGAGGGAGTCATGGGAAAACCTGACATAAAAGAAAGGACTTATAAAATCTTTAATACAGTAATAATAATAGCTAATATGCATATCAGGGGAAAGACATCATACCAAGTAAGATATGTATCTGTGCACAGCTATGGGTATGTGTGTTAGTAATCTCATTTTTAAAGTGTATTTATTTCCTGAAAGAGAGAGAAAGAGCAGGTTTCCACAGGGTCTTCATTCCCTGCACCCTGCTGCCAGCCAGGATCATAGATACACCAGCTGCATTCACGTCGATCAGGATGCAAACCTGGATCCTTCCCCTATGACCACCATCGCACAGTAGCACCCATACTGCCTGTGTCACAGTGGCTGGGGCCATTAAGCTCATTCCATTCTCACAATAGCCTGTCAGTTACAACTTGTTCCCATCACTCTATAGATGTGTCAGCTGGGCCTCCAGAGATTGAAGCAATTTTCTAGAGACACAAAGCTAGTATGTTGCAACACTAAATTTAGGATTGGTGTCTGCCTGGCCAGTCTCCCAACCCTTGGCATGAATGTGTTGATAAGTGATAAAATGAAATGGAGAATAAGTATAGAAAAGGAAGGAACAGTCCCAGGCCATGTCCCATACAGAGTGCAGTAGTGACTGAGCACCAGGCCCCTTGGGTGCTAATCCTCAGTTAGCCATTAATAAGCTACGTGGTGAGGAGCAAAACACCCGCTGTCTGAACTTTGGTTTCTCCACCTAGCAGATGAGCACGTATAATAGGTGACTGCTTCTGAACCTTGCAGTGGTCCTGACTGTTCTCACGAATCCGTTCTCATGAATTCAGTGAACCGTCTCTCCAGAAAAATGCATACATGTAAATAAGATGTAAAACTCTGTGTTCGATTCAATTCAGTAATGGCATCATTCTTTATATTTACTGCCAGGCTTTCTCCCTGAGATAGAATGTGCTTGAGGGCAAGGGACTTTGTCTTTTTCATGTCTGTATGACCACTACTAGAACAGTGTTTGGCGTATCATCAGATCACAAAAATGAATGACTGCAAGAATAAATAGATAAGAGTCTGGTCTTCTTGAAGCCAACTCATATTCACTAGTTTAAGAACCCATTGATTAAAGGATTTCCAAGGTCCTTTATGGTTTCGAAAGATATAAAATTGAATCATATTAAATGGCCGAATAGCCTACTGTTTGTGAGTAATAACAGCAATTTCATTTGTTTCAACCTAATATGCTAATTTACAATTTTATCAACTCATCTAATAGTGACTGTGCACATGTGCACTCTGGTACATGGTGCCAATTTTTTGTATTAGTCCTGTTTATCTGTGACAGCTGTCACTTACCTTGTATTTACCACATGATAAAACCCAGGCAGGCAGATAAATGCACAATATTTCGTGCTTCTTTTAAATGCTCTTTGAATGTAAACAGATCCCATTTCTCTGAAGGTACCATTCAGTTGTATTTTCTCCATAAATTATACGATTTGAAATGTATCACGAAATACACCATCCCAAATATTTCCTTAATGAGGTAGCAACTAACCAGATTAAGACTGAGTTTAACAGAAATAAGTCAGACTTACAAAATAATAGTGAAAACAAATTAACCCTCTCCACCCCTTTTTTGGAAAATAAATTCAGTCATGGATGTGAGAGGGAAGCCTGAATCTATTTTCCAAAAAAGGGGTGGAGAGGGTCTTAGGAACATGCCAGATAACTATTCAAAGCAGTTCTTTCTCAGAACAATTATCGCCACCATATAGCCATAGGTACACATACTCTGGAAACTTACAAAGACAATGAAACAAACAGGCAAGGGGAAAAAAAGAGATAGAAATCAGATCCATTTGTAAACTCCACTAGTAAGAAAAACAGTACACAGACATTTGAAACTACTGGATACAAAGAAGTGTGTGAATTCTTTGTTACTTTTAATTGCTCTGTATTTACTGCCCTTGGCTGAAAAGATAGAGGTCTATACCCATAAAGGTCATTGTAAATACTGTGTTTAGAATTTGATCATATATTTCCCCAAAAAAGATGCCTTCCATTGTAATGAGTGGAGTTCAGATTGTAAAATTATTAACTACTTTTACAGGGCATGTGTTACCAAGTGTTTTGAAAACCAGTGGCCCAAAATTCCTTTCTAGCCTCTACTCTTAATTGTTTGTGATCTCCTTAAGCCATTGAAAATTCTGGAGAACTACATTAAACTTAATTATTTTCTTTTGAGCATATCAACATTAAGATTCATACAAATTTAAAAGAAAAAAGGAGAGGAAGAAAAGTGGGAGTTGAAAGTTTTCCCCTTCCTTAGAGAGAGCCAGAAGCCCCAAGAAGTTCTCTGTCCATGAGGTTACACAGGAGAGAAGCAAGGGAGTGTGAGAAACTCCAGCATTTGCAAAACCTGACTTTGGGGGCCAGACGCTATTGCGGACACTACTATCCCTCTTCATTACCTTATCTTCTGATATGAAAGGAAGCAGAAACTACGCCAGGGTCCTTCCCTCAGGAGTAGCCAGAAAACCTGCTGAAAAGATACAATGATCCTGGAGGAAGATAAAAAACATACATTGAGACAGAAAGGTTACCAATCAGTGCACTTACAATTTACATTTTTTTTTTAAGTTTCCAAAGTATCAAGGAAAGCAAGGAGGAGAAAAAAGGATACTAAGACAAAAGAAACATCAGAGACCAAAAGAAAAAATTTAAAATTAAATATATTTATTCCTCAACTAAACTAATGAATAGTGAAATTATAAAGAGGTACTAGATAAAAGAGGTGGAGAGAATAAAAACAAACAACATTATTTCATCTTTTTCTTATGACCAAATAGTGAAAACTATAACATTTCAAAATAATGAAATAGCAATACGATCAACTTGGAACTGTGAAGCTCCATCTCAGGGTACACTAGAAGAACAACGTCTTTGTTGATTGTCTGCGATTGTTCCAGGCTCAGACTGTCCTAGGAATTGACAGGGAAAGTTTGCTTCTTTCCCTCAGATCATGATGTCAAGGAAGTCTTACAGCACCTTTGAGTATTTATGGAGAATGTGAAAAAAAAAAAAAAAA